ACACACACACACACACACACACACACACACACACACAGAGATTATTTTTGAAATATTGTACTTTATACTTTTATAAAAATATTATACACTAAACGTAAAATTTCTTAAATGTCACACAGATATGATTATATAAATTCTACATTATAAAATTATTAAAAATTTGCCGCAATTTTTTTTAAGAAGAATTCTTTTATGTTTGATTTATATTGCCTCTATTATATTAGTGGTCTACAGATCATTTTATTTTTATAATACAAGTATATTGTTCGTTCTTTGATAGCTCACTAAAGTGGAAGCAATCATACTCCTGTTGTGAAAAGCGAAATATTAAAGTCTCAAGAAATTCTCTGTGTTCAATCAATAATTTGGTCAGTAGATTTCTTATCGTTGATTACGATCGTTTTTCATCTAACTGTACTGCGTTCATGTTATGGATTGTTGAAATGATTAGTCGATTATTACCTTTACATTGTTACAATACTGTATTGATAGATTTCTCTAATATCTCTAATATGCATCTTAATCAATTATATCCTTGCTTCACAAATAAACATTTCTATTAATATTAAAGTTAATAATTATTAATATATTCTACTTCTTTTCAAATTATCTTAAATTAAATCGAAAAAAGCGAAGGATTAATAACTCATTAAAAGTAACATGTTTATTAATCCTAACTGGAACATGTCAGTCTTCGTGACCCTTGTCATGACCTCAGGACATTTTCTTAATTTTTTAATAGTACGGTGTTTTAAAATAATTTTATGTTCTATAATCTTTTTTATTTTTTAATTCACTTTCATTTTATCCATATAGAATTATAATACTATATTCATGCTAAATTCGAATGTTACAATTTTTTATATAGTTGAAAATTTTAAAACTTCTAAAACTAATAATAAAAAATGTTAGTAGGTTTCAAGAACTCATATGTTTATACCATTACAAAAAATATGTATTTCTATTATGATCTAGGTTGATACAGCTACTGCAGTCTGTTGAATAAAACATACATATTTACAAACATAACTTTAATATCTTTTTTGTTGATCGTTATTTGTTGTCACCATTTTGTGTTTTTAGGAGATTTGATAAAAATAGTAACTGTGTTAACTTATGTTTATAGTTAATACAGTTTATACAGTAAAAAATCAAAATATAAAAAACGTAATATATTTCGTGTGTTATTTTACTACATTAATTATCGCTGCATTGTTCAGTTGGTGCCACCATTTTAGAAAAATTATATCTCAATTATTTTATACTAACACACCTCGTCAATTTTTTAATTTAAATTTCAAAAATAATAGTTAATAATAATTTCTTTGCTGAAAAGGCAACAATTTGTTTATATAAAGCGTAATAATGTTACGCGAACGTAGGACATACAAAAATTGCTCTCCACACAAACGATATGCTTAAGAATATATATATGCCATGATCGGAATAAGATAAGTGGATGATAAATGGAATGCAACAAATAATTCACTTATCGGACGATGTAGATAAACTGTTGGATCTTCTTTGCTTCCAAACTTTTTTTAGCATTGTTTTGCTATCTTTTTCCTCTATGTTCTTGGTACGCATCCTTCTAGTTTCGCTCGCTTCACACAATCGCACTATCTCTATCACTTGAATGACTTTATAATGCACTTACGCTATCACTCGAGCGGCATACATCACCATACGCAACCAACCGGATGAATAAGGAAATAGATTAGATTACCATAATATTATTATTGAATTTTATAAGACGTTAATGACATTGATAAATGATATTGTGGACTAACAAACGTATACGAGATAATCGTTTGTCGTTCGACACGATACTCGTTTGCACACGATATTGACTTTCAACGAACGGAAAGATGTACAATACGGAAAATAGTGAATTCCGATGGGAATAGCTTGTGGCTATCTCGATGCGAATATATTTTTCGAGAAAAAAAGTAATCGTGATGTAGATAGAATATGAGGCTCGAGCATCGTTTCTCTAAGTTTTCAACGAGTGTTTTGCAGTAAGGACAATGTAACACAGTGAATCATTATTCTTGTTGTTTACTAACGTTAAATAAAGATGGAATGATTCATTGTGTTGTTACACTGTGTCTGCTGGAAAACGCCTAATCTTTACTTATGATTTACATCAATGAAACGATGAAGTGCAGAGAATATTTTAGGTAAGCGACAGATGCTACGAACTGACATGCAGTATATGCCAAATAGGACGTACTTGGAGATATTGAATATTCTTCGTACTTGACGTGAATGCGATATTGTTCAGAGTCATCATGTTTCAAATCTCGTACGGAATAATGAACATATCGAAACAATCAAAACCCTTCAAAACCCTTTGTTTAATTCGACATTCTCGACACTCATTAACACGCGATATTTACTTTCGACGGTAAGACGATAAGACACACGATCGGAAATGGCTCATTAGCCACTTTAGTACGTGCACATACTGCATATTTCATAGAAGAGAAACTAACTGTCACGTAAACACTAACCTGAGGACTTTTCATTAGATGACACAAGTCAATATCAAATATTGCTCTTTATTACATAAAATAACAAGAAAGGTAAAGCGACATTTGTATTGACTCGTGTCACTACCGCTGCGTTCAGAAACTTCACTCGAGTGCATCTAGGGACGCGTTCAGATTCCCACCCAAGTACTCTCCTGATATCACGTCATCCTTGTTTAACATTCATTGAGCAACAAGAATAAAACGACATCTGAGTGACACTCGGATGGGAATCACATAGCCCAGAGACTAAAAGGAGGGAGTATAATTTTTTTATGCGCTAAATGTAGGTATTTAATAAAATAGAATTTCTACAATATAATTTTTTATTGACAATTTTTATTAATATAATTTTATAAATATATAATTTTAATGAATGAACAGAAGTTTTATAATCTCAAAAAGAGTACATGTATCCTTAAAAGAGCACGGCTGGTAATCCTAATTTCAAAAGACTAAATAGGAAGAAAGTGAAGTGGATCATAAATCCATCACTGTCTCTGTGATGATAGACCATCTCAGTACGAGCAAGCCTTTAAAAAAAAAAGAAAGAATTAGGCAAGACATAAACGAGATATGAACACTGCTTCTAAGAACTTAGTCTTTAAGAATAAAAAAAGAACAAATCATTTTTAGATAAGCAAATTTCTTGAGCAAAAGAATCAAATATGCATTGCCAAATGCAACACATTTTCAAGGAACTAAATAAATAAAAGATATAAGATTACCGATCAAAAATTCATCAGTGCTTCCATGATAGGACTGAGATATTGAAAATTTGGAAACAATGAGAAAAGGGAACGACTTGCCGGACGACCTTGGTGCATAAACGCAATTTCAAGAAAAATAGACTAGCTGAAACGAAACAGGAGTCTTGAACGAGGCGCGAGTGAGGTTCGAGCATTGCTTTGAAAATCGTAATTAAGAGCTTTATAAAGTAAATAAAATACATACATTATATAAAGTCAACCAAGCAACAAATACCACAAACTGAAACGTGACACGTGAAATGCGTTGCATTGTATCAAATATTCTCCATATTTATCTTTAAAAACTATTAAGTATCAAAATTTTTATTGAATTTGCAAATCTAAAATATTATTGATGCGGAGCTAAGAGACAGTTTTCAAAGGTTAAAGGTAGAACAACAGAATCGAATTAAATTAGAATATCAAATAACAAAATCAAAAAGATATAATCCATTTAGATATTTAATGATATTAATATTTTACATTGTTGTGTTAGTGCAAGATAGTTGACGAATGATTTTTTGAATTAAGAATGTTGCAATAAACTTGACAACAAAATAGCACAAAAGAAACGTTTTGTTTTCTCTGTGACTGTGCTAAGTATAAATTTAAAAAACAGCTACTTTATCAAGTTTACTAAAACAAAAAATCGCGAATAAAGTTATAAATTAATAATAAGCAATAAAAAAGCACAAAATTAATGTTTTATTTGATTGTGCTGCAGTGATTATGCGAACTTAATAAACATTAAGTGTAATATTTGTGCGATTACATAATAAATATTTTTTCACGATTTGATACATAACTCCATAGATAAAATAGATAAGTATAGAGTTAACGCGTTTTGTTACTTACAAATCTTGCAGTATTCTCGTAACAACGTAGGAGAGCCAAAGTTGCTGACACTGATATAGATATGACGATCGATTCTCCTACACTAGGAAAAGTTCCAGCAAATTTTCATTTCGTCGAAAAGTTTTCGCGGCCCATTGAAACTTTAAGAAGATTTCGCAGTACGGCTATTCCTCAACGATGTATGTTAATTTATGTGCGAACTGCATTAGATCTGTAATGTATTCAGTATTCACTTCTCGAGTGGATCTAGATTATGCTTCGATCCATCTCGCTCAGTGTGCTATTTTTTTCTCGCAATATAAAATAACCCGCGAAGGATTATTCCAATCGCAAAAAAAATGCCATTTTTAAAAATTATATGATACTGACAAAACTCAATTTACAGTGCGTTTTAATAACTCCCTAATGAATGCACTTTTAATAATGCAGGGAACAATATGTGTAATCTTATTACAGCACATACGCAAGTTTACTTGATCTACTTTATTTTAATTACCGCGAGTGTTATTACAGCCGTATAACGTATAACGAAAGCAAAACGTTATGGAAGAGTAAAATATTATGAACTTTATACTTAATTTTTGAAGTGTTCCCCGAACTTTTTAATAATTTTATCGTATCCAGGTTAAAATCTACAAGAAACACTATTCCTTTTACTTATCTTTTCAGTCTAGAAACTCTTTAACATTCCCCTTTATCAGAATTTATAAAAATATTATTATGCACCAACAATTGCGAATTTGTGATCGATAAAATAAAAGTAAAAATAGTTTTGTGGCTCCAAGAATGAATTAAATATAAGTAAAATATTTCATATAGGCACTTTATTTATATTTGATTTATTTTTGAAACCATAAAACTGCTTTTATTTTTATTTTATAAATCACAAATCCGTGATTAGTGTGTATAAATAATATTTTTATAAATTCTGATAAAAGAGAATGTTAAAAAGAAGTCAATTTCTACACTCAAAAAAATATAGGTAAAAGATACAGTGTTTTTTTTTTTGTATATTCCGAGCTAGATACGATAAAGTTATTAAAAAGTTTGGGGAACACTTTGAAAATTGAATACGAACATGATGTATTTATCCAAATTTCAATATTCTTGCTTAATTTTCAAGGTGTTACCAACGCCACGAAAGTTTTAATAACTTCGTCGTAGACAAAAGATCAAAATCTGCAAAAAAAAACTCTATTTTCTTTACTTATACCTTTTTAGGCAGAAATCAACTCCTCTTTAATATCCTCCTTTTCATTTGTGATCTATAATTTTACTCCGTTCGAACACTTTTCAAAGCTTAAAGTGTACATTTTATTTAGATAATAAGAAGAAAATCGTTTGATAAACAACTCTTGCTGTGTATTTAATTTTAAACAAATATTTTTTAACTAATACTTATGCACGCGCTTTCAGTTAACAGAGCACAAAGCGACGTAGTTTGTACTTTTTACCTCGTTATTTCTATTTCAGTCATGAAGACAATTTTATGTTTCCATCTCGACAAGCTCGGCAAGCTCAGCGAAGTCATAGTTCGAGAAACGTAAAGCGATGTAAAACCCAATTGCAACAGGCCCGATTGAAGCAAACTGGGAAAGTCGCGAAAATAATTAAGGACGTTTACAAGTTTGTATGAGAAAGAGAAAAAAAAAGAGATTCAGAATGCGCATTTCTTCTCTGTCTCACTATCATCGAGCGTTCTTCGAGTAGGGCGATCGACCGAGCTTTGTACATTAGTTAGTACCCTTTCTTCTCGACTGAATTGCCCATTGTTCGAACGAAGCGGACGAAGCTGTAATCAGTGCGCGAATTAGATGTTTCGAAATTAAATCGGCCAGGGCGAAGAATGGCCGCGACTGGTCTTAGTTTACGCGGTAAGATATAGAGCGAAGACGTCGGGAATTCGCCGTCGTGGAAAAACAAACATACTACTTCGCAAGTTGTTGCAGTAGAGACGCTTGAACGAAATTTGATGAAAGAAAAGCGACGGACAGAAAGAGAAAAAGAGAGAAAGAACATTCACGGAAAATGCGAGTTCTTATTAGCTCCCTCGCTTCCCACGCTTTTCCAAGTCGAGAAACAAGTAGATCGTAAAGATTGTGCTTCGGTTAACGCTCGAAATCCCAAGGTGGGGTGGTTACCAACGCGATGATGCGGACATAAAAAAACAACTAGCGCGCCATGGATGCAACTTTTTACGCTCGTCTCTTCTCTTGTGGATGTTTCTTATAATCGTTTCTGAAAATCGAAAGTCGGGAGAGATCTAGGTCGAGGTTTAGATTGTAAAACGGAACCCTCCGACAGACCGTGCAGGGTGATTCGACGTTTTGCCGGATATATAAGACAGATAATATCGATTCATAGGAAAGCTCGGCGCGCGGAGAGGAGCGACGCGTTCAATTATCGGCGAAGCTTTTCGGCTCGAGCAGCTGCAGTCTGTGCTTCGGATATCGATTCCCTTGCTAGGATATCACGTAGGATTGGCGCGGCGATTCGAGAGAACAACTCTATCTCCCGCCGACTGTCGCGCGGATAACGTAGGACCGTCCCTAAGCTGTTATGTCGCGTTTATGGGTATTTGACATTGATTCCGATTTCGCGGCCAAATTGGATTAGCCCGATTGCAAGCGCGAGAAACGTATATCGCTGCACATCTGCTTTCTGAACTTGAGACAGAGAGAGAGAGAGAGAGAGAGAGAGAGAGAGAGAGAGAGAGAGAGAGAGAGAGAGAAATTGGCGTATCGGTACTGTACACGTATCAACCATCCTGCCATGCTCCGCACGCCAACTTCGTCAAATATTTACCAGGTGCAAAGTACGAAGTTTACGCTTCACCTGTTATGGCACGCGCGCACTTTCATGCGACGCTACGCGAGCACGTTGCAACAACCGCATAATCGTTTCGCTAATGTAGGTATTCGTCTTGATATTTTTAAACAAGGAGTTGTGGCCGTAGAGGGCAATTCGTTTAATATTCACGGATTTTTATCGCATGTTTACTGTTACGCTTCCAAATATTTCATAATGATAAAAGAACTAGATATTTCCGTAATATTCCCTGTATGCTCACACGCCTCACACTTATGCAAATTGCAGATTAATAATATAAGATAAAATTTTTATGTTCAAAATTCACGGGAAAAGAGATTGTTACGCATAATAAAATTATATATATATATATATAATATTCGGTAAATTTAAATCTATTAAAATATTTAATAGACTTTTTATTTCCTATGCAATATAGAATCTTATCATTATTTCTAGATGCACTGTGATATAATAAATATGTAGTCATAAATATTGTAATGTAAACCTTAAGATTGTTTCTGTTTCTTGAATAGCTTACTAAATGTAAAGACCCGTCTCTTGAATAGCTTACTAAAGACTCGCATTCGAGCTAAGTATATACATGTATAACAACCCAGAATCAATAATCTCTAGTAGGGTATATCTCTTGTTTCATGCATTCGCATCGAAGTATTCTCGTGAGTATTCCCGACTTCGTTAATTGCTAATTATAGTAGATCATAAAATATTAACGACGAAATCAAAGTTACCGTTATCGGGAATGTGTATATATATCGCTCATTAAGAAGAACAGCAATTAAGATTCGCCAGTTAATCGAATCCAACGAAAGAAAAGAAAAGTTATATAAGTTCCAAACCTCAGATATCCTCCGAAGAATATCAGGATTACATTTTTTTTCTATCGCGTTCTGACAACTAGACATTGTCTCGAATAATATCACCGATTAATGTGCGCTGCTCGGGTTCTTTGATCATTCTATTCTAGGTGTTGACGCTACTACGTCGTATTCAAAGGGCTTTTCTGAGACACCAAACCACAGGCAGTTTATGTACTATATACGACGCTAATTGTCACTTCTTTGGTCGACATTTCCTTAAAGGCTTACTCGTGTTACGCTCTTGCGCGCAAATGTTGTTACTGACGTAACCATGTGAACCTGAAGCCAAGGTATCCGTATAATACACGCATATATATGCAGTATACACACTAAACTGCTATTCGATTTATGTATACATACTTCAGTCGAAATCTTGAAAATAAATTATTAATATTAAATGTTTTGAATTGAAGACTTTTTTCACTGCGGCAATATTTTAGTAATATTTCAGGAGTTTAAGAAAAATAGTCTTATAAACTTAAAGTTAAGAAACTTAAGTTCAGGTTTATCTTTTATAAACTTTAAAAAAGTTACACTACACACTGCTCTGTATTGGATACTTAAATTTCTTCAGTTACATGTTAGAAAAATCAAAATATATGAAAAATATATCTTTTTAAGGTAAAATATTCTACTTTTTTTAGATATATTATGTGCCATATATACGGCGCATTTGACTTTGATAATATATTATTAACTATTTCATTCATCCGAAATGAAGTTTCTACATAGGTAACACATTACTTTTGAATAGCAGTTCCGGTTACTAAAAGATCATACCGTACGTTATTGTAAATTTAAATTGCGTTAACCGACCGTGACGTCCTTAATACATTTCCCAAACGGTCGGTGATGTATGCTCAGGCAGGATGTTCTCCATTTCCCGCCGCGGCTGGGAGTCAGGATGACGGAACGGGCGAGGTTGGAAACGGGCGGATGACGATTAACGAACGATTATTAAGGTAGACCCTTATCGCGGTAATTGCGCGGAATAAATTCAGGTTGCGGACAAATGAATGAACGAATGAACGGACGGGCGGACTGAACGAAAGAACGAATGAACGGACGAACGAGCGAACGAACGAACGAACGAACGAACGAACGACGAAGACGACGGCGCGGCGCCGTAATTTTCTGGGTGGACGAGCGTTTGGATGACATGCTCGGTTTCTCACATTACTCTAGCTGCACTCAGTTAACCGACGCGACCGACACGATAATCTTTTTAACTCGTCCGTTAATCGACGTTCGGCTTCGCACCCTTCGCACGTAGGGAAGCCACTGATAGCTCTTAGGGGTCCGCGTTCCTGTTTTGACAAACGCGCCGGGCGACCCGTAAACGTCGATGATAGAGGAAATACCGTTCAACGGAGAAAGCAGCCGGGAATGCAGCCAATTCCGAGCGTGATTTAAATTGAAGTTTGCTATAGCTTCCCCATTTTGAACGGATATCAACGCTTTCATTATCATAATATAAATGTTAATCATAAACGACGAAACATTAGTCGTTTATTAGATAAACATTGGATTATAATGTAAATGTATTAATTGAACGTATGTGCGAATGCGGAATTGGCGGATCCATGAGAGAAGCCGTGGCGACAATGAGCTCTCTCCCTTTGGAATCTTCTCTTTTTGTAAAATATTTGTAAAATGTTATATACATTTTTAATATTTTTATATAGTTTTTAATTAAAACTCCTAGATATAAGAAACAGATTTCATTATACTATTTTTTGTGTTAATATTATTAAAAATAAAACGTTTTGTAAATTATACATTTAAATAATACTTTTTCAATGTAATAATTTAATATTGTATCTTTTCATATTTGACCTTGAAAAAACTTCATTTGCGGCGTGCCTCCTCCAATAGCTCCCTCCTTTCACTTTCTAGACCCGCCAATGTGTGAATGATTTATACATTATATATGTATATATAAGATTTTGATATCTATAAAAACAGATTATTATTATTTTTATCTTTTGAATTGCTTCGAGAAATATCTAGTTCCCTCAATAAAGACTCTTTTTGACTCCAGATACTATCACGTTCTATCGATGTACGTAACATGCAGAGAGAGGGACTTATCCCGACACGTACGCTGATTTAAGGGAATTCATATGAATCGATTCGTAATAAAAGGAGAGGAAGCAAAGTCACGCGCGCTCATAAACGTTCCCTCCGAAAACGGATGTAGGGGATAATAACGCTGCGAGATCATAATTACTGTTATTACATCTCTGAAACGAATTGCCATTCTTTATTATCTCGCTATCAGTTCTCTCTCATATGTTTCCACTTCCTCCCAGCCCATTTCGCAGCGTGAACGCGTAATTTTCATGTTTAAATTCATAAAACCGCTAAGCGCTTTAACACTTAAGTGAACCAATTTCTCTTTTGAAACGATATTTTTACGTCCCGATTGGTCAGCTGGTGAATACGTGAACAATTTTTATTCGCACCGGACGCGAATAATTAACATTCGTTCACCTTGTTCTCATATGTGTACTCACAGATTACCTTTTATTATTCTCGATAATTTTTTTTCTACCTACCTTCCACACCCTTTTTCTCTCTTTTTCTTTCTCTAAGCACCTATTTTTTTCTCCGACGCGTTTCATCCGCTTCCTGCTGTTGCGCAAACGATAAAAATACCTTGCGTGATAAATAAAACAATCACACACCGTAATCCTTTTGCTCGGTCGGCCGACGTTAATCGTCGATCGATTCTACACGCACGAGGCGCAGATAGAGAGGCACATGAAGGTAGGAAGGAAGGAAGGAAACGAGACATGGTTACCATCATTTCCGGAACGGATGCCAGAGGGAACCAGATAATTGTTGTTTCTGTTATGTTCGTATGGCCAACCAGGCGACTGTATGCATGACGTTTTATTTATCCCTGGTATCACCATAAAAACACAGTACTTTGTAGCAGGACAGTATCACTTGTATCTATGCATTTGTAAACCGCGCACAATGAGAATAATTCAGTGCAATTGCTGTACTACCGGAATTATTCGAGATAATTATCTCTAGTACACTTAAACCAGCTGCAAGCCTGTCACGTGACAATAATAAGCTAAGATATTAATTATACGCTGAGTAGTTTGCTAATGCGCAACTGATTACCAATCCATTGCAAGAGTTAATTAAAATTTAAAGATACTTATATATGGTAATTGACAATTTAATCAACATATAATATTAACAAGAAATATAATTAATAAAATTAATATTTAATAAAAAAATTAATCAGGCTAAGGAAAGATAAAGGTATAAAGGTCGAATTTTATAAAATAACAAGGCAAAAAATATTATGTACCGTGGAGTATAATTGTATCCAAACTTATAAAAAAATATAAGATACAAAATGAAGTAATAATAGGTTACAGGGTAAACTCGAATATTATGATCATACAGAAAAGACGGCTATAGACTAATTTCTTCAATAATTGAGAAATTTTTGCACTCATTTTAAAAGCTTTAAGAAGACCTATGGTCATCTTAAATCTTATTCGAATTTACCTTACATATAATAATAAATTACACAATAATAAACTAAGTTATTAATGTTTAATGCTAGATTTATCTGGAAACAGCAATGTATATAACGATATATATAACAATTGCAATTAACGATAAAATCAATGTATTGATTTCTACTAGAGCATTTTCAATATTAAACTAAGTCAAATATATTGAATATGATTATAGAAATTGCACTAAACATTGGAAGACAATTAAAAATATAAAAATTGCGATCATTATTATCTAAAAGGCTCGTAAATCTTGCTACGTCATTATTACTTCTCATACGCTTTAATAATTAAAACATGATATGTGTATACACAGCCAATGTAATACGATATGTGATAGACACAATAGACTTTATGAATATTGTAAAATTACATTGACTATACTTATTAATGTAAAACTCGTAATGTAAAACATAAAAATTCTCTTGTCAAAGAGTAATAAATCGCCCGTTTTGGACCCTCTGTTATATTTATGCCCTATATATTTAGTATTTATTATTATATTGTATTTTATATTTCGAAATATTTGCATTTCACTTTTATACTCAAATTAAATCAGTGTATAACGACTTTAATGGGCACCAGTGCGCACTAGTGCTTCTAATCGAATTCGCTATTAATTTCAAAAAAAATTCTAAAACTATACTCGTGTTATTTTGATACAATTTTAAATACGTTTAAATATACAGGGTGTCTCTGCTTTGCTTATGTAGTGCCAAAACTGCTACAGCGGCTTTAGCACATGGAACCGATTTCTATATTTATATACAAAACATATTTCTACGTTATTTTGTGTATGACGGTTTTAATGTGTACCAGTGCCCACTAAGTGCGTCCAATCGAGTTTGCTATAAATCATTTCGAATATATAGAATAAGATCGGATGTTATGAGCACTGCAGGTAATATGAGCACCCTTTATATTTTTGTAACCGTTGATACTAGTAGTTCCAACTGTTGTAAAAAGATGCATCTGTCTTCGCGACATTCGAATATGCGAAGTTTGATCTAAATTTATGTATTTCAGATATTTATCATATTAAATAAGTAGGTTTCTTTATTTCTTACGTTTTTTCCTCTAACTTCACAAAGTCCCCAATCTACATTGAGATAAGATATTTTGTTCTGCATGTTAATATTTGGGGACAAATCGAAAATGTCTAATAAACATATGTCCGATTCCGAAAAGTTTCGGAGCTACGGGATATCAAATTGAAAAAAAATATGAATCATAATAAATGTTGTTTAATGTTTATTATAACAATAACAACCAGACATTTTCAACCTGTTTCCATGTGCTAAAGCCGCTGTAGCAGTTTTGGCACTACATAAGCAGAGACACCCTGTATATTTAAATGTATTTAAAATTTTATCAAAATAACGCGAGTAATTTTCGAAATTTTTTGAAATTAATAGCGAATTCGATTAGAAGCACTAGTGCGCACTGGTGCATATTAAAGTCGTTATACACTGATTTAATTTGAGTATAAAAGTGAAATACAAATATTTCGAACTATAAAATACAATATAATAATAAATACTAAATATATAGGGCATAAATATAATAGAGGGCCCAAAACGGGCGATTTATATTACTCTTTGATAAGAAAATTTTTAACATATTAAATAAGTAGGTTTCTTTATTTCTTACGTTTTTTCCTCCAACTTCACAAAGTCCACAATCTACATTGAGATAAGATATTTTGT